AAAAAAACTTACCAATAACTGAGAAATCCGGACCAACTTCGAGAGGATGCATATGTGGAGCAACATAAACCCTGGGACAAGACATGCTCTTTAGCATACCGTATAGAATCACAGATGCAACTTACGGATTTTTCCAAGATTGGTACCGTCCCCGAACTGATGTACTAGCATTTTGGGCAGCAGCACTCAAGCAACGCAGCTGTACGATTGAGCGAGATGTAGACATCTCCTCAGATGCTTAACAAATAACTATTTACGTTTGAACCACATAGACTCTCGCCACATTTTTCATAGAACATGGAATCTACCCTTTCGTTCTTTCACAAATCCCCTCTCATGCTGTAACTTATGCAAAAATAGAGCGAATCTCAAGACGGTTAAAAAAGAATATGAAAGTACAAGCAACAGGCCTCACATTCACATATTTTAAGTAAATATCAAAGAATAACAATTGAGGCATGGGGTGCATGAAACCACCATATGCATATGCACAGATCTAGACTACAAAGTAGGTTTGGACATTACCACATGCAAAATCTAAGATTATCTAAAGAATATTTATATACATAGACAAATAATCCACACTTTTCTTCCAAAAAATCAACAGATGCACCATTACAAAAACGAAAAAGGTACAAAGGAGATAAATAAGTCAAAAGATGGACAATACATAAGGATAATATTCTCAACAATTCTTCGCAGTTTTACCCGACAAAATACGCTAATGAAGAGGTACAAAATGAGATGAAACCAAGAGTGAAGCTATCACTGATAGTGGCACAAACTATGCCCACATTTTTATTACACAATCCCATCCAGCTGTGAGTATTTTACTCTTCTCATGTGGATGCCATCGTGCGGATATGCAGGTGCTGTCATGGGCTTTCCACCTGGCAACAATTTTGTGCGTTCTCCAATCCCAGATAAAAAGTTTTCCGTCAGCATCTCCACTTATCAAGAAACTGAAAGTAACCGCTGAAAGACAATCGAAGCTTTTACGTGCGTCACGTACCTCATATCAGGACTGAAATCAGTTACGCAAGCGTATCCTGCAGAGTTGTGCCCTCTAAAAGCTTTCTTCTTCGCAAATCGCAGTTTTTCGTCTATCAGTTGGAATAATACGATGCGGTTGTCCATAGACTGCCCAACAACCCACTTTTCTGAAAAGGAAATGATTTTAAGAATGAGCAAAGAAGTAACACTTTCCAAATATGAGAAAGACAAAAAGTTTACAGTTCTTACCGTTCGGACTTTTGTTCATCGTTGGTATAGAATGAAGACCAACGTTCTGTATAAGTTTGGTATCAACCGGAATTTCCCACTCCCAAATTCGAATTGATTTATCATCCGAAGTTGACGCGAAACGTCGGTTTTTGTCAAAGAAAGTAATGGAATTGACTGCTCCCAAATGACGGTCATACTCCTATGGAAAGGATGATTTCTATTACCAGAGACAGGTTTATATAATTTATCAAATCAAACCAAGCTTACCTGCACAATCTCTCCTGTACGTGAATCCCACTGAACAATCTTTTTGTTTTGCATACCGGCAAGGAACATATAGTTTTTATCGTCATCAGGATGGAATTTGACGCAGAATGGAATGTGGCCAGTGTGAAAGCGTTGTTTGACCTAGATACCTCACTGACTTAAAGAAAAGAGCAAAGAATATCAGGTAAAGAAAGGACAAGATAACACTACTTTCGCAAACTGAACACTAGCAAGATATTAGGAAAGAAAACTCACTTGGCCTGTTTCTGTATCCCACAGCTTGACGTATCTGTCAAAGCTTGCAGATAAGAACTCCGTGCCTTCGTTATTGAATGTGACTTCCCGCACAGGTAACTTGTGACCGATGTATGTCCGCACAACCTGGTGCTTTCCATAAACTTCCCAAAGTTTGATCTAAAATTTTTTGTTCAATTCGAGAAATATCAGATGAATATTTGAACTAATAGGAGTACAAGTAGGTCGATGAACTTACCTTTGTATCCATGGAACAGGAAAGGAATAGATGCGCGCTCTTCGGAAACCATTGTATACAGTTGACTCCTTTGGTATGCCCTTTGTACACATGCACCTGTTTTTTGGGTATGAAACATCTGTAAATGAAAGTTCGCAGAAGATACAGAATTAGACAGAGATGAATCAAACGAAAATAATGTAAGTCGGTACAAGCTTACTTTTCTGGCACCGCGTCCGCTCGCAGGTTCACTCCAGTAAAAGCAGGTGGTACAAGGAAGGAACGTCCCTGATAATCCTGGGCTTCTTTCACTGTGAAAGTATACAGATCAGTCAGACTCTATTTAAGGCATCGCAAAAAAGTCGAAACCACAGCTTACAATGGAGAACAGATGATTCCTCTGCATTATCATTCTCCTGTTGTTGTTGTTTCCTCTTGAACCGGCGGCTGTTGGCTTGACGCTACAATCGCCTTGATTTTGAGAACGATACAGAATTCATACAAATCCCATACCTTACGGACAATCTCATCCATTTCTTTTTGCAGCTCTGGATCAGGCTTAGCTATAGTTTGCTCATCGCAATATTTCGCCCATGGTCCTAAAAAATTTGCATCAACAAGGTAACAATGAACCGGGATAGAAGATGTCACCGTACATAGGTGAACATACGACGCCTTGTACAGATAAACGATTGGTTTTGAGTACAACTATACCTGTATAGCCCTCTATGTCTGATGCATCAAAATTTGCTTGGCGTTTTCGTTTCTCGCCTCCAGTTTTCTTCGAATCAAACAATGACTCTCCTTGACTGACAATGGCCGCTTTCTTATTTCCAATAAATTCACTACCTAAATCATGGCTAGTAGTTTAGTAGCAATTTGTATACATTGTAAAAAA